ACTTGCTCTCGCTAGAGGCCTCCGAGCCGCACTTGCGTTCCCTTGCGCGCTGCCCCAGCGTCTCGCTCGAAGCACCGTGCCGCTGCACCAGCGTGGACAGATGAAAGCCGGACAGCCTCCTCGTGCCGCTCTTTTCGGCCAGTGTCGTCGTTCCCCTGCAGTTGTACCACTTTAACGCACTTTCTTATCTCCAAAACACACACCCCTTAGATCTTTACTGTATTGTGGTATGGCGTGTGCTCGGTATGCCGTACCACCACACCTGCTACTGCCAGTACTGTACCAACGACATGTGGTCGGAGAGTAGACCTTCCGCAACATATGCTCGCGCATCCCGGTCGGTGCACACTAAGCACTCGATACCTGTACTGGGACAGAGCTCCTGTCGGGACCCGACCCTCTGATCCCTGAGCCCCTAGCGGCGGGCTCGCTCATGGCGGCTCGAAGCCGAACTTGACAAACCTGCCCGCGTGCCCGGGCTTCATCCCCGTCTCCTTGGCCACGTCCGCCCGCTCAGCGGCGTCCAGTCCGCGCAGGTACGTGATGTCGTCGTAGCCCTCGGCGTCAAAGGCGGCGGCGTAGGCCTGCAGGTTGATCTGCGCCAGCGCCGCGGCGACGGCCGCCATGCCGCCCGTGGGCGGAGGGGGCGTCTCCCTCAGCACGGTGCGCCCGTCCGGCGTGGTCGTGAACAGGCGGCTCGAGAGCGGGGAGGGGCCGGCAGGGGCGGCGGTGGAGGCGGAGGCGGCGGCGGTGGAGGTGGAGGCGGCGGTGCGGGCGGCGGTGGCGGGCGCGGCCAGTGCGGTGGGTGCGGTGGGTGCAGTGGCGGCGGTGGCGGCAGAGCAGGAAGAGGAGGAGGCGGCGGGAGGGGTGGTATAAGAGGCTGCCGAGAGTGCGACGGCGGCGGCGCGGCTGGAGCGTCGCTTCGGCGCGGGCGCGTCGGTCGACTCGTTCTCGCCCCCGCCCTCGCCCTCGCCCTCGCCCTCCTCCTTGGCGCCCTCGGTCCAGTTCGGGCCAGTGTGGCCCATCACCACCTGTGGCAACCAATCGATGTCAAAGAGTGTCGAGGCGGCACATCGCTGGGGATCTCTCCAAACGTACCCGGCAGTTGTGAATCGTCCGGTGCGCAGCCTTGCACCCAATGCACGCCAGCTCGAGCGGCGCCGCCTCTTGCGCCGTGTGCTGGTTAACCCGCAGCGGCGGTGGCGGTGGCGGCGGTGGTGCTGCTGCCGGCGGCCTCCCGCGCAATCCCTGTTGTCGTTCTTGGCGCAATCCTGGTGTCACCGCTGCGGCTGTAGCCGGCCGAGCCAGCGGGTCGGGTGCCTCCCGATGAATGGAGCAGTGGCGCCGTCCGACGCGGCGGCACACAAGGCAGTGGCGTCGCCCGCCCGGCCCTACCCCAGGGCCGCCTCCGTTGCCGCCGGTGCCGCCGCCGTCGCCGCCAGCGCCACACTCCACGCCAGCCCGTGACTTCTTTGACTCCGACGATGCAGCTCCGTTGTCCATGCCCGCCTGCGCCAAACTTCGCTTGCCTCGAAGGACGGGGCCTGCCGACTCGGCTCCCACCGCCTCCTCCTCCACCACCGGCTCGGCAGCGGCTGCGCCTTCTGCCGCCTCACCCAGCGGTGCCGCCGACGCCTGCCCTCCTGCCGCCACCGCCGATCCCGCTTCCGGCGCCTCGCCGACCGCCCGCGCGTACGCCACCGCCGCCTCCACCGCTGTGTCGAAGCAGCCGATGGAGACCACCCTTCCGCCCACCCTGCGCTGCGCCTGGAAGCGGCCGGAGGCGTGCTTGACCACGTTCTTGTAGCCGGTGTTGCTGCTGCTCGAGAGGTGCAGCCGTAAGCCCTCCGCCTCCGTCGCCACCGTCGGAGGAGCCGGAGGCTGGTACTCGCCGACTGCTCGCGCGAACGCCACCGCCGCCTCCACCGCCGTGTCGAAGCGGCCTACTGTGACCTGCCTTCCGGCCACCCTATGCTTCGCCTCGAAGCGGCCGTTTCGCGAGTCGCCCTTGTACACGCCCTTGTAGCCCGTGCTGCTGCTGCTAGACAAATGCAGACGCAAACCCTCCGCCTCCTCCGCCAGGGGCGCCTCCGCTGCCGCTGCCGCCGCCGCCGCTCCCTCCTCCAGCGGCGCCGGCTGCTCTGTCCCTGCCGCCGCCGCCGTGACCGCCTCCTCCACCGACGGCTCGGCAGCGGCTGCGCCTTCTGCCGCCTCACCCAGCGGTGCCGCCGACGCCTGCCCTCCTGCCGCCACCGCTGAGCCCGCTTCCGGCGCCTCGCCGACCGCCCGCGCGTACGCCACCGCCGCCTCCACCGCCGTGTCGAAGTAGCCGATGGAGACCAGCCTTCCACCCACCCTGTGCCGCGCCATGAAGCGGGCGTGGTGTTTGTACACGCCCTTGTAGCCCGTGCTGCTGCTGGACAAATGCAGACGCAAGCCCTCCGCTACCTCCGCCACAAGCGCCTCAACTGCCGCCGCATCCGCCGCCGCCGCTCCCTCCTCCAGCGGCGCCGGCTCTTCTGCCCCTGCCGCCGCCGCCGCGGGCGCCATCAGGGGCGGGCTCTGCTCGCTCTCCACCGCGGGGGCCGCAGGCTCCGTACCAGCCGCCGGCTCCGGCGGCTCGTCGTCGCTGTCCAACGCCATTGGACACGCTGCGCTGCTTCCCGGCAGCGCGGCCTCGCCACTGCTGCCACCGCCATCTCCGCCACCGCCGGCCTCCTCGTCGCCGCCCTCGCCCTCGCCGCCGTCGCCGCCCCCACCGCCCGCGCCGCCGGCGCCGCCGGCGCCGCCCTCGCCGCCGCCCGCGCCGCCCGCGCCATCCCCGCCGCCCGCACCGCCCACCGCCTCGGCAGTGGCAGTGCTTGCCGCCGCTTGAGTGCCCGCCTCTCCAGCCGCAACGCCGGCCACGGGCTCGGGCAGCCCTTCGCTTGGCGCGGCGTCCGCGAGCTCTTTGAGGCGGAGCGAGCACTTCTGCTTCTCCTCGTTCCAGACCAGCACCAGGCAGGAGGCGCCCGCCTTCATCTGTGCCTTGACGATGCAGCTCCCGCAGTCGCACGGCATTTTGAGCCGCAGCGTGTGCGGCTCCGCTTTGGGCTCGAGGGTGAGGCGGAGCTTTCGGAGGTGTGGCGCGGTTGCGTTCTCCCTGTCAAGCGCGCGGGCGAGCCGCCCGCTTTCCGCGAGGCTCTGCCAAGAGAGCGGCGCCGGCTGCGGCGCATCCGCGATGCGTGTGTCGGCCATCGAGGGCGCGGGCTCTGAGACCGGCAATTTTATTTTACTAGCTGAGGGGCTCGCTAAACGCTCGCCGAGCTCCATGCTGGTGTGTGTGTGTGTGTGTGTGTGTGTGTGTGTGTGTGTGTGTGTGTGTGTGTGTGTGTGTGTGTGTGTGTGTGTGTGTGACCACTGGCACTGACAGGGGTCAGGGCGAATGGGCACAAGAAAAGAACCGGGCAACGGGGGGGGGAGGGGGGGGGGACGGGAGAGATACAACAGGGGTCTCTCTCCCATTCAAACTCCCAAACGAACCGTTCGACGCCGCCCCCGGTCATCGCCCCAGGGTACGGTAAAGTCGCCTTACGACGCCGAGACCTCTCCGCTTCCGCTCCTCCGCGACGGCGTTCCCGCAACCCCTCCCGGCGTACGGAGTTTCCCGCGCCTCGCCCTTCCGAGCCGGCGCCTCGCCCTTCCGAGCCGCGCCTCTTTACGCCTCCACCACCATCTATTCCCCGCTCTCCTCGCCGAGTGGCGCCGCCTCGCTGCCCCCCTCCCGCGCCTCAAACAACAACAAAACACTATGGCTCTCTGATGCCCAATGCGTGCACTCGTCCCTCTCTGTATGTGTGGGTTCGTGTGTGCGGGCGGGGGCCCTCCTTGTCTCTGCCTAGACAGTGTGAGGTAACACCTACCTACCTACCGAGACGGCTTCAGCACCATGTTTTCTTTTGCGCAGTGTTATCTAATCGACCTAATTTGTAAAATTCTTTTGCGCCTCGTTAGGGGGTCCGTGAGATCCTCCGGAAGGCGGCGGACGTGCTACAGAACAAGCTGACGCGGGCCCAGTACCTCGATGAGGTGACTTGGACCACTAAGAATTGGCTGGGGCTGCAGAAGCAGCGTATCTCAGTCGTTCTTCACACGGCAATCGCAGAGCAGGTTGTGAATGAGCTTGCCTGTGGCGGGGGCGGGCGGGTGCACGGAGCTAAGTGCCTCGCCACCCTCGCAGGAGTCGCTTAGGCGGCTCCCGTGGTGTACCTGTGTTAGTGCCAGTGCGCGCCAGTCCCGTGCCCAGTGTCGTGCGACGCGGCAAAATTCTTTCGCGCCTCGTTGATTCGGCCACCGCGAGCGAGCGAGCGAGCGCGCCCCAGCCAGGGCAATGTCGTCCGACGAACTCGACGAGAACGTGACCCTCACGCCTATCGTCCTCGGGGTCCTCATAATCGGATTTGTCATCTTTTCCTGCTGCGGCACTTCCACGCCCGGCGGGCGAATGCCAACCATCAGCGAGCGAACGACGCGGGCGCAGATGGCAGCCGAAGAGAAGAACGAGTAACTGGACCTGGCTCAGCAGGGCGAACGGAGGTGCATCCTCGCGGCGCGGCCTGCGCTGGTCATCGTTCGCACCTGCCAGATCTTACAGAACACATGAATTGTCGTGGAACTGCTCGCCGATTGTCGGTGAGCGCAGGCTCTGGACTAGCTGGACTGGCGGCGGTAGCTTGTTCGTTCCTCGTGTGTAGCATCGTGCGGTGTGTGCTCGCGCGCGTGCTCACTTGAGCCCGCTGCCCGCTGTAGGGGCGGTGTGTGGCACGCGCCGGCCTAGAAAAACGCTGTATCGGAAGTGGGTCCTCGCGACGCTCGGCGGCCGAACGGCCGTGGGGCTCGCGGTCAGTTGTGACTGTGTCAGCTGAGCCTCACCCCGTACCCCCTTTAAACGTCAAGAAGAACGCACTGTCATACGCAGCGCCCAACATAGCTGCGCACGATATAGGGATCTGCCCGACAAATCATTCAAGTAGCGGCGCGGGCCGCGCTCTTGCGCCCACGCCGTCGCACTCGACTAGCTGACACCCGTCTTCAGACTCGGTGATCCGGAACGTGGCGCCAGAGAGGCGCTCCGCAAAGTGCACGGCGGTGGGCAAGTGGAGGGAGGAGAGCGCCGCGGCGGGAGGCGCACGAAGCCGCGACGTGCCGCCGGCGAGGGCCATGAACACGATCAGCTGGTCGGCCGTGTGCTCGCAGGCGCACGCGCCGCTCTCGAGCAGTGCGAGCAGCTCTCCGCGCAGCTTGGCGCAGCAGCGGTCGGCGGCGGGTCCGAGGTCGCCGCGGGGGAGAGACTGCACCGAGTTTGCGCTCAACACGCACCCAGAGTCTGTCGTCAGCGCTAGCTGCACCGACGCCTCCACCCGCCCCCGCCCGCCCCTACCGGCCTTGCCACGACCCCCGCCGCCTCCCCTGCCCCTGCCGCTGCCATCCCCGCCATTACCGCCGCCGCTTCCGCCGCCGCCGCTTCCGCCGCCGCCGCTTCCGCCGCCACCGCCGCCGCCGCTTCCGCCGCCGCCGCTTCCGCCGCCCCCGCTTCCGCCGCCACCGCCGCCGCCGCTTCCGCCGCCGCCGCTTCCGCCGCCACCGCTTCCGCCGCCGCCGCCGCCGCGCCCTCGCGTGGCCTCGGCGCATTCCTCGGCGGCTGGGGGAGGCGCATCGACCTCGACCGCCACCTCGACGCCGCGCAGGGCGGCCGCCGCGGAGAGCGCTCGCTGCAAAGCCTAGGAGAGGAGGGCGTGCTCTTGTTGCGCGACCCGACCCGGAGGGCAAGGGGAACGGTTCGGGGACCCTCCGATTCGTGATCGGGGGGGGGAGGGGGGAGTGCTGTGCTGTGCTGTGCTGTGCTGTGCTGTGCTGTGCTGTGCTGTGCTGTGCGGTGCGGTGCGGTGCGGTGCGGTGCGGTGCGGTGCGGTGCGGTGCGGTGCGGTGCGGTGCGGTGCGGTGCGGTGCGGTGCGGTGCGGTGCGGTGCGGTGCGGTGCGGTGCGGTGCGGTGCGGTGCGGTGCGGTGCGGTGCGGTGCGGTGCGGTGCGGTGCGGTGCGGTGCGGTGCGGTGCGGTGCGGTGCGGTGCGGTGCGGTGCGGTGCGGTGCGGTGCGGTGCGGTGCGGTGCGGTGCGGTGCGGTGCGGTGCGGTGCGGTGCGGTGCGGTGCGGTGCGGTGCGGTGCGGTGCGGTGCGGTGCGGTGCGGTGCGGTGCGGTGCGGTGCGGTGCGGTGCGGTGCGGTGCGGTGCGGTGCGGTGCGGTGCTGTGCGGTGCTGTGCTGTGCTGTGCTGTGCTGTGCCGTCTTAGTTGTGTTGTGTTGTGCTGTACTGCAGCTCACAACACACGTGCCGTCTCGTGTGAGTGAGGCCCCGTCGTGCCGTCTCGTGTGCCGTACAGGTGACGTGTGCTGTACTGCAGCAGTGAGGCCGTCTCGTGTGAGTGAGGCCTACTGTACATGCCGAACGTACTGTAGATACAGCTGTGTACTCGTCCGTGCGGGACGTGGCACGGACCGGCGGACTGTGCACTCGGACTGTACATCTAGGCTCCTCCGCCTCTGCAAGCAAGCGGCAGGCGGCCGCGTCGGACGCCGCGACGAGCGCACGAAGGGAGGTTGGCTTGCCTCGCTCTGTCAGGGTGAGCGGGGGGAGCGGTGTCTCGCAGCAGGCCGCCACCGTCACCTGCCAGGGTCAAGGGCGAGATTCGCCGAGATTCTCGCCGAGATTCTCGCCGAGATTGTGATGATCCGAGACCTACCAGGGTCGACGGCGGTGGCCCGGCCACTGAGGGCGGCGGTGGGATCGCAGCAGCGGCAGTGCGGCTGTGGCGACGGCGCGGCAGTGCGAGGCTCCCGGCGGACGCCACACCTGACCGAGCGGGCCGCCGTCGTTGAAGCCGCGAGCCGCCACTCGGGTGTCGAGGCAGACGCCCATCCGCGCGAGAAGAGGCGCGAGCACGAGCGCACTGTGCGCGGCGGGCGGCGAGAAGTTGACGTCGGTCCCGCCGCGCAGCAGCAGCTGTCGACCCGGCGCGCAGAAGAGCAGCGGGGGAAGAGCCGCCTGGAGCATGAGCGTCACCGCGCCAGCCGTCTCGGCCGCGGCCTCGAGCGACGGTGGCAGAGGCCGCTCCTCGTGGGCCGCGGCAACCAGTTCAGTGGAGCCCTTGTCGTCTCCCGTCAGCGCACGCCCGGAGAGGGCGGCAGCGAGGCGTGCGCCGACAAGGTGCTGGTTGGCCAGCCCCGGCTTCGGGCGGCCAGCCCGGATTGAGTGCAGCCGCAGCGGGCGTGACGGCTGGAGAAAGGCGAGTGAGAGAGAGGTGCGGATGACCTGGCCGCCACCTTCGAGCGTCGCGCCGTCAATCTGTAGTGGACCCTCGGTGGCATCTTGCATGATCGAGCGATGATCGAGCAGCGACATCGAGCAGCATTGGCGAGAACCGGGCGGTAGAGGCACAGCACTGGCACTACACAGGTACATCAGAAAAGAATACTGTCCCGCTTTGCTGTTCACAGCTAGGGACGGCCTCTGCGGCAAAGTCAACTCACCCCCACCTACCACCTACCACCTCCCACCACGGCTAACCTTCGGCTCCCGCTCAGAGGCTCGCCGCGCCCGTGCGGCGCGCCGAGGCGGCGCCGAGGCCGGCGCCTTGCACCCGGCCCGCGGCCGGCACCGCCTCGCCCCACAACTGACCGCCCTGCGGCCCCTGCGCAGGCGTACCACAGGCGTCGCTCAAAAAGCGACGCCGGGTGTGGGCTGCTCCCTTGACCCGTCACCCGCCGCGCCCTCGCCCGGCCGCCTCACCGCTCACTCGGCTGCTCGCCGCCGCCGCCGCGCGTCCCGCGCCGCCACGCTTGCCCTCCTTTGCCTGACGCGCGCGCTCTGCAGCGGCGCAGAGCGCGCGTCCCTGGCACAGACGGAGCAGCGGCCGCGCCAGCGGTCGCTGCTCCGCCCCCCCGTCGCGCGCGCCGCGCGCGCGCTGCCGCCGCCGCCGCCGCCGCCGCCCCCTCCTCGCCGTCTTCCCCACCCTACCCTCTGTTGCGCGCGCCGCGCAGCCGCGCTGCGCGCCCCCGCCCCCGCCCCCGCCCCCGCCCCTGCTCCCAAGCGCCCCTTCCCCGGTAGGTGTGCGTAGAAAGTAGAACCAATCGAGAGGTGGCAGAAGCCGCCGTGTGTGACATATACTGCGGCACGTGAGAGTGAGACAGAGCCCCGGCAGCGGCCAGCGCGCGCGCGCAGCGGCCAGCGCAACAGGCGTTTCAAACAGCAAACGGGACGGCCTGCGCAGCCTCTAACTATTTTGCTCGGTCCACAGGTGGCAGTTCCGCAAAAAAGCGCGACGCTGCCTCTTTGCGCCGCTCGCTCGCGGCGGCGGGAGACATGGCCGCGGATGCGGCTCGCATTCGCTTGGCGGACCTGACAATCCGGGAAATTTAACTGATTCGTCTCAGTCTCACGTGTTTTCGTCCCTGTCTCACTCACTTTCAGCGTCTCCATCGCGTCTCAAATTTTCTTCACTCCGTCTCATTTCCGTCTCACTGCTGTCTCTATCGCGTTCTTGTCCGTCTCAGCAACATTTAGTCTCACTGTCAGTCTCAACTTTAGCTTCTTTTGTGCGTAGTACTTATCGAGCAAATCCTGAAAGTCAATTCCGGCTTGGTGGATGGTCTCATTCAGACGCCTCATCGAAACGATGGCCCCAGACATGCCGCTGGTAGCTATGGTTTGCTCCATGCTGATCTGCGTAGTGCTCTTCTCGGCGGCTGCATCAATGGCATTCTTCTCGAGTAGGAGCTCGTTTATCTCCTGGATATCGTTGCCGTCGTGGCGCTGTCGCGGTGCCGTCGTGGTGCCACGCACCCGCATTCGCCGGGAACTCCACGATCGCTCGTAAGGGACATCCCTGCGTTGGCGTGTGGCGGTGGCGCTCCCGCTCGCAGCGGTGGTGGTGGCCGCCGGCGCGCCGTGGCGTGTGCGGGCGTGGGTGTGCAGCTCAGCGCGCAGCCTTGCTCGCCGGCGGGGTGGCGGTGGCGGCGGCGCTCGGGGTGGTGGCAGGTGGGGGTGGAGCGCCGCCGGACCGCATGCCGGCGACACTAGAGGGAGCGGACCGTGAGTTGAGGAAATCGGAGGACGCGACCCACTTCGCCACAGACGGTCCCGCGCCTCGCCGCTATGACGGGCACACGCCCCGCACCGTCCGCTGTGTGCCCGTCTTTGTCCGGAGTGAAAAGTCCAACGCGCTCGTCGGTGACGGTGTCCTCCAACCTGCGCCGCGCTCGGCGAACCTCGACAGCGCTTTCGGTGGCATGCAGCTCTTTGCGACAGAAGCCTGGAGAGCAGCTCCTCTGCTGCTCACACACTCTGCACAGTTGACACAGCCTACTGTGCGGCTGCCACAGCTGTGACAGCGATGGGCTCGCCCTCACTGGCCCTCAGTCACTTGTGCTGCGGCTTGTGTGAGCGACACTGCTCGGCGACTGCCGGCACACTGTGAGACCATGGGTGTGAGGTTAAACCACGCTACCAGCGCTTGGTCACATCGGCCCCGAGGTCAGATCCATCTACTCTGTTGATGACAAGACTTGTCTACTGGCTGGAGCCGAGCAGGAGGGCCCAGCGCACAACCCCAGGTCAACTCTAGGGTCCACACCCCGTACGCATTCTCTTCGCCGATACTGTACGAGTGTGGTCCCCCGACCCGGTCACGGTGCACTGCTCCTGCCGCACGGCGCACGCCACGGCGGCGGCGACCGCCAGCGGTCACCTATCACAGTCCACTTACTTTACGACCGCCCAGCCCTGAAGGACCATACATGCATGTTGTGCAAACAGGACGCCGTGCTCACAGTAAGCTTCAATTAACACGCGACAAGCCCAGGCGCACGCCCGCTACCAGATTCGTCCCACATCACCGTCTTATTCCCCGTGCCTCATTCGAGACATTCTCCTCAGTCACTGTCTCAGCAGCGAGCCATCCCCCATCGGCACCAGCCTCACACCACGAGTGTCCCGCTTCGTTGGTACAGACCGCCACGAAGCTTGCGGAAGGCATGCTGCTTGAGCCAACCAATCCAGGACTTGGCGGTATTCGGATTCACGTGCATGAACTCCTTCCCATGATCTCCGACGTTGCCACGGAACAGACCACGCGGCACGAGAGCGCGTGCCAGCTCCTCTTGGAAGCCCATCGTTTGGGGCGGATACATGTGCTCGAGCACTTCAGTCGCAAACACGGCGTGAGCAAGAGGTGGAATTTTAGTCGAGTTGAGGACGTCGTGCACGATGCATTGGAAGCCATCGAATTTGCGGCACGTGAAGTCGAGCAAGCTCTTGCGAGGTGTCGGGATGTCGAAGAGGTGCAGCCTGGCCGTGCGCCCGTGCTTCACACGCAGGATCTCAGCGATGCAGCGGCTTTCCTGCGCCATGCCGGCTCCAAAGTCGACGATCTCAATCAGCGTGCTTGCATCAAAGGCACTGGCGAGCCCGGCGGCCATCTCCTGATGTATCGGAAGCGCACAGCTGTGAGTGGCATCATTGTAGCTGATGAGCCTGAGAGTGTGGTACGCGGCGAAAAGGCGGTACGAATCAAACATCTCCGATGGCGCATCGGTGGCGAGGACGCCGAGTGCCTTGTACGCCGATACGCAGAAGGTGCGATACTCATCGCCGCGATACCCACCATCGAAGCTTTCCGTCGACGTGTTGTAGCGCAGTGATGCCGCCTCGACTGTGATACCCAGTCGAAGTGCGTTCCACGTGACAAAGCCACGCTCTGTGTGCGTGAAGCGCGGATCTTGCTTTCGGAATCGATTGTGCGAAGGCAGCGCCCCTGCATCGAAGTATTCGAGCCGCTGCGAGGCGTCGGCCGACGTGGCCCAGCCGCTCAAGTCGCCGGTTTGCTGGGCTTGAGAGACGGTGGCCAAGCAGAGAAGAATGCCGAGCAAGCTTGACCAGCCGAAACGGCGGGCCTTTGATTTGCGGCGCCACTTTACCGTGCCGATCACGGCTACGGAAGTGACCGTGGCAGCGACCTGCAGCGGACCCGCCGTGAGCCACGAAATGGCGGCAGACGAGAAGGCCGAGGCCACCGCCGTCGGGCTAGGCACGGCGGACGCGCAGTGGCCAAAGGCGGGCATGCAGACGAGGAGCAGCCACCGGAAGGCGCCCTCGGCCTTCGTGTAGCCGCCCTGCACGCAGTTGGCCGCCGCCTTGAGGGCGGCGCGACCGCCGGCGCTGCACGTGCCAGCGACGGCGCCGCATGTGCCAGCGCCGGCGCCGCACGTGCCAGCGGCGAATGGCGCCTTGCCGGACGTGGTCTGCGGCTCGCGGCGCCGGTCCGGGCGGCGGCCGCGGCCGCGACCGTGGCTCCTGCCAGTCTTCGGCTTGCGCCAGCGCCTTGCCTTGCGCCGGCACTTCCTCGAGCGCCGCGACTGCAAGTCCGCCCACTTCTCCCGTCGCTCGGCAATGAGATCGAGCGCGGCCTTCGCCTTCTTGAGCCGCCCCTCCCAGTGCTCGCGCTCCTTGGCGGCCTCGGCCTCAGCCAGCCCCGCGCCCGCGACCGCGCCAAGGGGCTTGGGCGCCACGGGCGCAATGCCGCCGGAGGTGGGGACTCCCGGCGACGGCGACTTCTTGCCGTCGGCGGGCGTAGCCTGGTAGCTGACGCTCTCGCCCAGCCGGCGGACTGCAGCCTCGACGCCGTCCACGTAGCCCGGTGCGGAGCCGCTGCGGGCCGACGCGGGCCCGCTCTTCCCCGCCACCTTCGGCGTGGGCAGGCCCGGGTAGCAGGTGGTGTCCTGCAAGCGCGATAGGGGCACGCGGGAAGGGAGATTATTACCGGTGGGAGAGCGAGGAGTGCCAGGAGAATGCTGCGGCGCGCTCACCGCTGGGTCGGGCGCGTTGGAAACAGTCTTGGCCGGCTTCTCGACCTCCTTGGCAGCCTCCTCGGCGACGGCCTCCTCGGCGACGGCCTCCTTGGCGACGGCGGACACCTCGGCGGCGGCGGGCTTGATGGTCGCCTCCTCGGTGACGGACTCCTCGGCGACGACGGGCTCCTCGGAGGCGGCCTCCTCGGCGGCGGCGGCCTCCTCGGTGGCGGCGGACTTGGTGGCGGACTCCTCGGCGACGACGGCCTCCTCGGAGGCGGCCTCCTCGGCGGCGGCCTCCTCCTTCACGACGACGTCGTTCTTGACGCCGCATGCCTGCGCGAGGGAGAAACGTAAATGTTTGGAGACGGGGTCACCGCAGGGACAATGCCGATCCTGGCGTAAAAGTGCGCACCTCAGCTCCGAGCGAAGGCGCCAGCGTCAGGCTCGCGCGGCGGCGCTGATACCACTCCTCATAATCCGCACTGGAAGCGAAGTAGCCACCGACCTTGACGGAAGCCGTTGGCCCGAGCTCGGTCTGAACCTGGGCCCCCTCCGCGAAACAAAAGCTGATTGGCACCTTTGCGAGGCTCCGATGAAACACGTGGGGGTTGTCGAACCAGACGCCCTTTGTTGATCTCACAACCAAGAAAGCCGACTCGCCCTCGCTCTCATTGAAGTCGACCATGTAGCGCCTCTCGGCGCGCGTCCTGCAGAGCAGAGAGAACGCCCGTGAGAGGGGTGAGGCAAGGCGCCTGCATTGGTCGGCAGTCCGAACAGCTATGCGCATGTGTGGGGTCTGAAATGAGAGGAGAGTGACGGGGGACAAAGCTCGGACGTTGAGCCTGCGGAGGGCGGCGTCACGAGGGAGCGGGCTAAAGTTCGGGCGAGTGTTGCAGGCGACGAGGGCCAGAGAATAAAGAGAGGCCTTGCGGGCGAGGGCGAGGGCGAGGGCGAGGGCGGCGGTGTGGGGGGGGGGGGGGGGGGGGCCCTTCCCCCGCGGCCGTTTCCACCGCAGGGCGGCGAAGGCATCGGTGGCGGCGGTGAAGGCTGCGGCGGCACATTACGCGGCGGAGGCGGCGGCACAACGGCGGCGGTGGCCCGGAAGTGGCAGTAACGAAGCGGCGGTGGGCGAATCGTCGTTCATGGCCTGGCCGCAGTAGTCAGGCACGCACGGCGACACGTCGTTCAATGCCTGGCCTGCACGAGCGCCGTGATGCCGATCAGGCGAGCCTCTGCTGGTCGAGATGCCCGGCAAAGATGCCAGTCAGGCCGACGATGGTCATCGAGTTGAAGACGGCGGCGCGACGACGATGTCGCCGACGCCCTCGTCCGACTCGGTCACGAGCGGGGCGAATCACCGTGAAGAACTCGGGCGCCGACGACCCGACCGCCATAGGGTGCGCCGGCGTCGTCGACGCTCGGGAGGCCGCGCGACTCGTGCGAAGCCGTGGTACGCGCCCCGCCAGGGAAGTGGGCTGTGTTTGCGTTTCTTTGTGGGGACGGGTTGGAAGGGTGGAGGCATCTAGATGGAGATGAAGAGCGAGGCGCACCTCAGACTCGGCACCTGATTGGACGGACAGTGTGTCCGATGAGCGGAGAAATTGAGGATGCGGCGGCGGCCGCATGGGCAATTCCAGCGCGGAGCGGGCGGCGCAGCCCCGGAGCCCTGGCGCGGGCGTGGCGCGGCAGGGCGTGGCGCGGGCGCGGTGGCGCGCAATCATGCTGGCCGGGGATCGCGCCGCGACAGAGTACAGGGGGAGGGCGGAGGCGCGGCTCGGGCGGTGGCGCGAGCCCCTGCACGCGTCGCGCGGGCGGGGAGGGAGAGGGAGGGGAGGGAGAGGGAGTGGCGGGGGGCGGGCTCAGCGGCGCGGGGCCCCGGCCCTCGCGTTGGGCGGCGGGCGCGGCAGGGCGCTCACCGTGGATCTCACTCGATCGGGACGGCGTGCAGTCGCAAATGCTCAGAGACGCTGTCGAGAAGAGAAACCGAGTTTGATAAATCACCGCCTTGTTATTGAGAAGAAAATACCTCCTGCGCTGTGCGCTGGTCTGTGAGAGGTTGAGGTGCGAGCCCTGGAGGCCCTGGGGATTCACAGCACAAGCTTTCAGCGTGGCGGCTTCAGCATGTGCAGCGAAAAGCAGGCGTGCGGCAAGCGGAGCTCCCCACCGGCGGCGGGTTTGAAGACACTGAGTTTGAATCCCATCGGAAGCGCGGGGGCTACGGCGTTGGCTGCGGCGATCGCGGCAGGCAGGCTACCAACGCAGATTAAGTGGTTGGAGCTGAGTTGCTGCAATATTAGCAACGAAGGGGCGGAGACGCTGTGCGGAGCCTCGAGACAGAGCCGGCGTGTCCACGCAGTCAGACAGCGAGGAGGGCGTCACAGCTCGAGACAGGTTCTGAGTGCCGCATTGCCTGCCCATTGAACCGATTGGCAAATTGGCGGGTTTATCACCGGGCCCCTGATTCCATCCACCAAACGAGATCGTCACTTGGAGGTTGGGATTAACAGCCTTCATCCGCTTGGCCCATTCGCTGCCTTTGGTCAAAACCGGCCATGTTTCGGCGAAGGTGCACGTCGACTTGCAATCATAATCCTTCTGCCCAAAAGGATAATAGAATGCGTAAGTCCCCACAAAAGCCATGATGACTTTCGTAACGCGTTTCAGGATCTCGTCAGAGAGCAGCGGGTCCTTCTCGGTTGCAGGCATCCAATAGAGCTCTGTCTGAAATCCAGTTGGCCAAGCACAACTTCCTGGCGAGGGTCCTGGAGTTGGCGAGGGTGCTGGGGTGGGTGCAGCTGCACACTTGTCTTGGCCTTTCGTTGGGGCAGTAATGCACATCGGATCGCCTTCCCACAAAACTGCATCTGGGCACGCCTGGCTCGTGCGACCATCTACGATGGCACTGTACTCGACACCAAAGTCTTGAGTCAGACTCCAGCAAGAATCGCCCTGGACAACTGTGTATTCACAGGCGCACGGTGCAGCTGCACACTTGTCTTGGCCTTTCGTTGGGGCAGTAATGCACATCGGATCGCCTTCCCACAAAACTGCATCTGGGCACGCCTGGCTCGTGCGACCATCTACAATGGCACTGTACTCGACACCAAAGTCTTGAGTCAGACTCCAGCAAGTATCGCCCTGGACAACTGTGTATTCACAGGCGCAGAGGCCGGAGGTGGCGATGAGCCAGTTGGGGCCCTCGACCACGTTGGGCGGGTCGGGCACGACCGGGTCGGGCGTAGGGTTGAACGGAGCAAACAGCGGCCCTCGCTCGGTCGGGAGCGCCGTCGCATCGGGCACAGCGATCGAAGGGAGAAGGCTGTCAGAGCCGTGCGAGAAGTAGGCGAAAGTCCCTCCGCTCGCGATGAGGCAGATGAAGACGGTGCAAAGCATGTTGCGCCAGCAGAACTTGGGCCAGGAGAACCAGCCGTAGGCGGAGCCGGAGCCCTCCGGCGTGGCGGTCGTGGACGTCTCGACCGTCGCGGTCTTCTTGACCGTCGCGCCCTGAACAGGGGGCGTGGTCGTGGCGGTGAGCGTCGGGGCGAATAAGAATCCGGCGTATGCAGGCGGCGAGCACCGAGTCTGTGGTCGACGGCGTGGAGCCGCGGGGCGCCTTGCCGATGCCACCGACAGACTCGGGCGAGACAGATTCGCCCTGCGGCGCGCGCGACGCGCTGTCGAGTAAACGCGGGGCAGTGTGTGTCGTCTGTGAGGAGCGGGCGCACGCCGAGGACTCCTTGCCCGACGCGCCCTTCTCCTTTCCCTTCTTCTCGTCCTCGTCGATCTCCGCCTTGACGTTCGTCTCGACGTCGTCGAGCAGATCGTACTTGTTGGAGACCTTCGTGGACGTGACATCGCCCTTGCGCTCGGTCTTGTTGCGCGAGGTTGAGACGATCCAGTCGGGCTCGCCCTACGCATCAAAGGCGGGACGGGGTCCGTCAGTGGGCCCGCAGACGCACGGCACAGAATGCGGCGCTCGCCGCCGGGGCGGGCTTCTCCTCTGGAAACTCCTTGGCCGAGACGGTCCAGCCGTCGTCGCCCTACGCAATGAAAGCGGGGTGGGGTCAAGGGGTGGTCGGCAGGCGCACGGCGCAGAAGCATCGCCGCCAGGGCGGGCTCCGGAAACTCCTTGATCGACGGCTGCATCTCGCCGCCGGCCGCCGCCGGCTTGAGAGCCCACTCGTCGATGCCCTGCGCGCGACGTACGACAGAGTCATGGGGTCGACCACAGTGTGTGCACGGAATGGTGCTGGGAGGCGCTCGCCGCTGGGGCGGGCTCCTCCTCCGGAAACTCCTTGATCGACGGCAGCGTCTCGCCGCAAACCGCCGCCTGCTTTAGAGCCGTGTCGATCTTGTTGACCGGCTCGAGCGCCGGGTCGTTCTTGATGACGCCGGTCTCGTCAACGGAAGCCTCCGCGCCAGTCTTTGCGGCAGGAATGTCCTTCTTGAGGGCGCCCTTGATGGCGCCGGCGGCCGGGCGCTCAAACTTGGACCAGAAAACGGCGGGCGGGCTCGGCGCGTGGGCGGCGAACATGGCCTTGGCCTTGTCCGAGTCGACCGGGCCCGCGTCAGGCGCCTTTTCCGCGGCCGGGTCCTTCTTGAGGACGTCCTCCGTGCCACACTTTGCCACGGGGATGTCCTTGACGTTCTTGACGCCGCACGCCTGTGGGCGAGGGAAAGTACGCACAGGCTTTCAGAGACGGGAGAGGGATGATAACGATCCTGGCGAGCGCACGCGCACCTTGGCTCCGAGGAGCGAAGGCGACACCGACTCGGAGATGACGATCGTGATGCGGCCGTCGTCAGCCGGCACGATTCCGACCTTCGCGAAGGACTTCATCGGCGACAACTCGCCCGCGACGTTGCCGCCGCCCGCGTCAATGCCGTCCTTGAGCGGGCCGGGCTCGCTCTCGGGCGGGATGCCGACGGCCTTTTCGCCGGCCGGATCTGGAAACTCCTCTGGAACCTCCTTGGTCGAGACGTTCCAGTCGGCGACGCCCTACGCATCACGCGGGACGGATGAAGGAGTGGGTCGGCAGACGCACGTGCGCAGAATGCCAGGCGCTCGCCGCCGGGGCGGGATCCTCCACCGGAAACTCCTTGATTGACGCGCCGGACTCGGCCACGGTCACGTCCTCAGCGGGTGCGTTCTTGGCGCCGCTCGCCTGTCGGCGAGCGGGAGAATGGGAGCGTGTTGGGAGGAGATGGTAGCTCTGCGACAAGCGCACACGCACCGCCTTAGCTCCGAGGAGCGGAGGCGACTTCGACTCGGAGTTGACGACATTGATGAGGCCGTCTTTGGCCGACACGATGCCGACCTTCACTGTCATCTGGTTCTCTGACATGATGCCGATCGAGTTTTTGCTCGTACCTATGAGAGGAGGGGCGATCTCAGGCACTAACGGACGAGACGTCGGCTAAATCTCGCATGAATCTCGGCTAATCTCCTCTCTGATTGCTGCACATCGTAATCGGGCCATCAAGTGCTCCTTCTCTCTGCTCTGAGCGTCTTTGCGGGCCGTGAAATTTGGGGAGGGGGAGGGGAAAGAGGGCCGCACCTACTCGCAGCGTACACAACTTGAGTCCCAGCGCCAAGGAACTCCGCGGCACACCCGCCTCGCTCACGTTGTTTTGGATCTGCGAGGCGCGCAGGCGGCGGAGGGCGCGTCAGCAGCGTAAAATGGGATGAGCATGGCACGGGTTTGGTTCGGGCGTCGCGGGAGCGCAGGAGGCATGGAGGCGATTCGCGGCGCCGCGCTCAGCTCCGACCGGCAATCCGATTGTGCCAGATTCGTGGCGCTCGATCCTCGGAACGAGCCGCTCGCGCGGCGGTCGCAGCACGGCGGGCAGCCCGGCACGAGCGCGCTGCAGCGCTTGGGAGATTGGGCGAAGCGGCCGGGCACGCTCGCGCAAACGGCAACACGCGCCGCATCGCGCGGGGCGAGGGGAGGAGGCGAGGAGGGAGGGGCAGGGGCATTCCTGAGTGCGAGGGCGCGGGGCACCGACGGAGCTCTCACACCGCTCGATCAAAAAGAGCGCCTTCGGCACACTCTCTCGAGGTCTCGCTGATCTTTTCCATCAACCCCCCGACGGCGAAGGGGCAGGGGCAGCAGCATTCCTGAGATTGCGTGTCGTCGATGTTTGTTTCGGTCACGGACCTAAGTGCCTCGCCTTCCTCGCAGGAGTAGCATAGGCGGCTCCGGTGGTGTACCTGTGTTTCTTAGTGCCAGTGCGCGCCAGCCCATGCCTAGTGTCGTGCGAGGGAGTTGGTCAAATCCTTTTGTGTTTGTGTTTTGTGCCTCCGTCATCTTCAAGTATCAAGACGGAGATCGTCGTCATCTCTTCGCTCTCGCCCGACTACTGCCACACCATCACGCCGCCAGACGTGTGGAAGGCGCCGAGATTAGCCGAGAAACGAGGCCTCCTCGATGCCACGCTTGCAGCCTGCCCCACACAGCTCCCAGATAGTTCCGCCGAAATATCCGAGCGAGTCGCCGTGCGAGAGGAGAGTGGGGTGTGTGTGAGAGAGTGGCGCCTCATGTGTGTCTTCAGCACAGCGAGGGCTTGGGGCTTGGGGGCTTGGGCTTGAATTGTCCTCGACCCAGCCCTAGGTGGGGATGTCCGTTTTCTTTCTTTCTCTCTACTCTCGGGAATATCTTCTATTCATGTCACAATTGTGGAAATTCAAGAAGATGAGGGAGTCGTGATTTCTTGTTGGGTTTCAAAATTCTCTCTGGAAATTCACAGTTTGGTGGACCCTGACACGGCCCTCACGTCTCACGAGGAGGAGGGGGAGGAGGAGGAGGAGGCGGAGGCGGGGGCGGACGAGGGTGCGGACGCCCGAGGGAGGCGGCGAACCAGCTGAGCAACAAACTTTCGCACGTTCAGCACCTGGACGAGGTCACACATGGACACCAAGAACTGCGGGCCAACTGGCACGGCCTGGGGGTGGCGGGTGGGGCCTGCAAATGGCAAATGCAGCGTTTGTCCGTCGTTCTCCACACCGCTGTGGCGTCGCGTGGCAGACGGTGAACGAGCTAGCATGCGGGGAGAGCGGCATTGTGCGCACGGAGCAGAGGGACTTTGGAGGGGGGTGCGGCACATAGCTCATAGGGCATCTTAGGGAGAGGCAGAGGGCGGGGGAGACGGGGAGACGCCGTGTGGCCGATCTCCGCATATTCCGGGAATCCGAAGTTGGTGCCGCGGATTTCGTATATACCGAGGCGGTGGCCGGTACTCGGTGCCAACCTGTCGGAAGCATAAGTGGTTCTTGTCGGAAAGAAAAACCGCCCACCTCTCTTAGATATAGAATACACCTTCTCACGAAGGTTGTACTCTAGAATAGCCACTCTCACAGCACCGCCATTGAGATTTGGTCAAGGGGCCCCACGTCTCGGTGGCCCACACCTGGCCTCAAAACTCGTCGACCTCGATGCCCGCGGCGCGCAGGATGGGCTTCGCCGCCTTGACGTCGCGCAGCAGCCAGCGCGCCATGAGCCGCGCCTTGGCCTCGGAGGGCAGTGAGCCCTCCGGGAAGTGTCCCGAAGCGATTGCGGCCCAGAGTGACATGGCTGCCGCCACCGAAATGTTGAAGGACTGCGTGAAGCCGCACATCGGCAGGAAGAAGGAGCCGTCGGCGCGCTCCAGAAAGGCCTTGGAGACGCCGCGCCGCTCGTTCCCAAAGACAAGGGCGGCGCCCGCCGGCCGCGCGCCAAAATCGAGCGCGTCGATCGGCCGCGCCTCGAACTGGTGGCTCTTGTGCGTCTGCCAGCCTCCCTCCCCCTGCGCCTGCTGCGCAGTCTCCTCCTCCACGCCGGAGCCCTCCTCGTCCGAGAGCGGAGGGCAGTCCGAGGTCAGCACCTGCAGGTCCAGCTCCCTCAGCGCCGCCAGGCAGGTGCGCGAGCTGGTGTACCGGGAGACGGTGAGCCAGCGCGACGCGCCCATCGACACCAGGTTGGTGCCGGCAGCGCGTGGCCGGCCTCGGTTGGCTGCAGAGCCCGCAAACTGGTCCGTCACGTGAAAGTCGCTGATGGACTCGATGACGTGGACGTGCTGCACACCGAGCCCTTCGGCGGTGCGCAGGACGGCGGCGGCGTTGTGCGGGTCGCCGATGTTCTCGAGGACGAGGTGGAGGCCGCCGCGCCGCCGGTCCAGCATCTCGCGCAGCCGCGCGACGCGATTCTCCTTCATGAAGGGCTCGAGCGCCGCCACGACCGCGTCCCAGTCCTGCTCTGTCGCCGAGTCGAGCAGGATTTTCCGCTGCGGCGAGGCGGCGACGGGCGCCGCCATCTGCGCTCTGGCGGCGGACAGCTTCTGCCTCAGCCTCGCGCGGGCGGCCCGCTCTGAAGCGGCCGCCGGCGCAGCCATGGTGGCGGACGCAAAGAAGCGACGGCCAGCAAACGGCCGGCCGCGCTGCAGAGCGACCGCGCTGCCCGCGGCGGCAATCACGCAGGTGCGGAAGAGGCGGGCGGCCATGACCAGGACGTACAGGGACAGCCTTCGGGCCTGCGACGGCTGGTCGCTTCGGCTCAAGGTCAACGTCGATGCCGGAGCAGGCCAGCCGGACTTGAGAATTCTTTTTCCGCACGTGTGTGTGTGTCGGGTATTGCTCCGCCCGCAACTCTCTCGCTGACACGCGCGCCCGCCGACCTTACGACGGGTGCGCTGCGGTCGCACGCCTCCCAAGTCATATGCCACGGCGTGCGATCTAGAATCAGCACACGCGCCTCTGCTTGCATGTTGCATACACTCATACATTGGATTGTCATTGCCTGTGAGTGCGAGATATAGGGCTAGCCGCAGGCAGCTAGCCTCTGAGGAGGGCGTCCATAGACACCTCACTAGACCCCACATACGGTCTCGTCCGTGCCTTGCCGGCCGGTGAGATTGCTAGAGGTGGAGCAAGCCCGCTCTAGCCTCGCATATCACTTCCTGTCGTCTGTTGTTTGTTGTGCCCTTGTTTGTACTCTTGGCACCGTGGAGTGCTGGGGGGGGCGACAGGGAGGATGTGGCCTTGAGTTATGTGTTTGCCGACTCAGGGTGTGTGGCAGCCAGCTGGCTGTGTGTCTTGTGAGCTTGTTTGTGTCTGTGTGTCGCTCGTGCGTGTCGTCATCATCTGTCTAGCGTCCACCCATACCGCGTTGGTGTCCAGTCCGAGCCTGGCTGTTCTTCACCTTACTACCTACCTACCTCTGGGCCGGCGCGGGGGCCCCAGAGGGTGTCCATGCGGGGGGGAGATGGGGTCCCATGGCCCGCCGCAGGCGCCGATTTTTTCGCAATTTTTTTTCTTTTTTGCCGATTTTTTACTTGTTTTCATGGGAATTCGGCGTACTTGCGGCCATGCTATCACGCCTTGCGACAGCCTGTCGGCGCAGCTGACCGTGCCATGATGCACAATTGATCACCTGCATAGCTCGCGGCCTTAGTATCAAGCATTCAGTGACGACCTGATCGTACGGCCAGTAGGAAGGTGTCCTTCCATCGTGTGCACGCTTCTGGCGCAATGCGCGTCACAAACTGCCTCGGATTGGCTGCTGGCAATCTCGAGGCTATGCCTACACAGCCTCGCGCGCATCCATGGGCAGTCAAGAGGGACCACGCACCTTCTCAGGACAGCGCCGGTGCCTCTCTCTTGGACCGGCAAACGTGGTGGTCTCGTGTCACCAATGTGGGACCAGTGCGGCATCGCGCCATCGACAGCTCTGAACTGCGCCTCACCACTGACCGGGAATGCCGCCAAGTGGGCCAGCACAGGTCGCACATTGTGGCAGCAGTCAGCAGTGCATGTCTGATAGCTAGAGCAGCAGCGTCAGGGTCGCAGGGTCGGATCGTGTCAAGCCTCTCGCCCGGCCGGCCGCGTGCAGACGTCGGCCTGTCTGCTGTCTGGAGTGATCTGTCGGCGGTCAGTACGACCGATCAGGTCGGAGGTTTCTGATGGTTGAAGGGTCTATCTGTATGTACTCCTCGAGATCTCTCCAAATCTGCCCTCTGTTAGACCGGGTTAGATCGGGAAGTCGGTAGTATGAGCGAGTATGAGCGCCGGAGCCCCGTTTCCGCACTGCGGCGCGGCGCACGGTGCCTCCGGGGGGCCCCGCGCCGGCCCAGAGCTACCTACCTAGGGACGTGGAAGGGACGACTCGGGTGCGGGGCGGAGGCGCGGCTAGGGTATGCGGAGGCGGGGCTAGGGTGTGGGGCGGAGGCGTGGCTAGGGCCAGTGCTAGGGCGGGGCTGACGAGGCCAGTGAGGGGGGAGCCGGGGGGGGGGGGGGGGGGCACCGTCCGCGCCGTCGCGCTCAGCTGCAAAGTCACGCCCTCTGGGGCGAGAGTGGACTGAGAAAAGTGTGAGGGAAGTGAGGCCTCGAGAGTGAGGTGCCCGCTTCAGCCTTCACTCTCGGGTTTGTGCATCATCGATTCGAGGCGAAGGGTAAGATCGTAAGAAGTAGCGGCTATAGCTTCACACTGTCACCCCGGGGCCACACATGCCCTCATATGTCCGACACTATACGGGTCTACGTTAACGGAGAGTCGCCAAGAGGGCCAGTTAGTTCTTTAACCCCTCAGCGAGGCCACGCCAAAATTGAGGCGCGCCGTCGCCATCGGAGCCACCGCCTCCCACGCATTCAGAGCTGGGTCGTACCGCTCCACCGAGCTGAGGCGGCCGTCGTCGCCGGCTCCGCCAACAGCATACAACTTGCCATCGAGCACCGCCACGCCATGAGCCCGCCGCGCCTCTGCCATCGGCGCCACTGCCTCCCATGCATCCAGCGCCGGGTCATACCGCTCGATCGAGCCTAGGTAGACACCGCTGTACCCGCCCAAAGCATACAGCTTGCCGTCGAGCACCGCCACGGCGTGAGAGACCCGTGCTATCGTCATCGGCGCCACCTCCTCCCACGCATCTGTCGCGGGATCGTACCGCTCCACCGAGTTGAGGTGGCCGTCGTCGGCGTTGCAGCCTCCCACAGCGTACAGCTTGCCGTCGAGCACCGCCACGCCGGGAGCAAACCGCTCGACCGCCATCGGCGCCACCTCCTCCCACGAATTCTCCGCAGGGTCGTACCGCTCGACTGAGCTGAGGACGCCGTCGTCGTCGTTGTAGCCTCCCACAGCGTACAGCTTGCCCTCGAGCACCGCGACGGCGTGAGCATACCGCGCCTCTGCCATCGGCGCCACCGCCTCCCACGCGTTCGTAGTCAGGTCGTACCGCTCCACCAGGTTGAAAGATGCGTCGTGAGCCTCGCTCTGGCCGCCCGCCGCGTAGAGCTTGCCGTCGAGCACCGCCATGCCGGCTTCATCTCGTGCCGTCGGCATCGGCGCCACAGCCTCCTCCTTCCACTCGTTTGTGGACGGGTCGTACCGCTCCAGCGAGTTGACAAACTCATCGTTGTCCTCGTCGTCGTCCTCACCGTGGCCACCAATCACGAGCATGCGCGGCCTCTCGCGCTTCGGCAGCGTCTCCTTCCAGCCGCGGCGCCACGCGCGGCACGTCCCCTTGGCGGCGTGATCCTTGGTCGGCAGCTGGGCGAGGATGTGCGGGGCGAGGTCCGGCGAGAGGAGGACCTCAGAGAGCACCCACTCGGGCTGCTCCACGAGCCGAGCGGCGTGCTCCTCTGCCACGCGCAGCGCGGCGTCGCTCCAGAGAGGCGCCTGCTCCTCGATGAAGGCAAGGAGCTGCTCTGGGGAAGCTCCCGCGAGTCGCGCGCCGATGCGGTGGGAGGCCATGCGGTGGGAGGCCCGCGCACCGACCCCCTCGGGGGCTGCACGAGTCGCGCGGGCAGCGAATTTTTCTTTTTTTGACAAAAATGCTTTCGAGCCTTCTGTTCTTCACCTTTCTACCTACCTACCTACTAAATAAGGCCCCACCCTCCTCACTTGAGCTCGACGAGGTACTCTCATCGGCAGGTCGTCGTACCCGTTGACGCCGCCGTGGGCAAAGGCCGGGTCCGCGCCCGCGCCGTCGGGGATGTCGAACCAGCTCACGTCGCCGTCCTCGTTGACCGAGTCGAAGAGGCCGGGCGAGCCGTCGTGGTGCGAGCCTATCCACAGCTACCTGCGTGTTTCAGACGCCATTCCCTGACCAGGCCGGCCGCGCCGTCGCTGCGGGCGCCGAGCAGCCGCCCCTTGGCAACGTAGACAAAGGCGTAGTCGAGGACGTGGTGGTGGGGCTCTCCCGCGTCTCCGCCGCCGGGCGGCCAGATGGGGGATCCCTTGGGCAAGCAAGCTCATCCTGGCATGTGCTTCGGATCGGGGCGCGACAGAATACAAAAAGAATTCGCTCGGCGGCACACCTTGGAAGCCTTGGGCGGCGCAGCTGCCGCTCGCTCGTTCCAAGAGCCACGGCAATAAGAGGCACAGTGACGCAAGGCATGTCGCGGCTCGCACGCCACCCGACGACCGATGGTGAAGCCCGGCGGCGCGGCTCTGAGCGAGGCGGCAAGGACCCCGATCGTGATGCCTTCGACGCCTCGCGGCAGCACCCAATGTGTGTCATCAAGATCCGCGACTTTGTGAAGCTCGAGTCGCCGCTTCCAGCGCACGAGGAGGTGGCGGCGCGTGGCCTGCTGGTGGAGTGGCAATCGGGCTTGGGCGACGTGATGTTTGTCTCTCACACCTGGCTTGGTGAGCGACACCCAGACCCTAGCGGGGTCAAGTTCGAGGCTCTCAAGGCCATCCTCCGCCGAATCATCGCCGGGACGATGAGTGTGAACGAGTGGTACCTGCAAAGGATATTGTGGGGCAAGATGAGGATCAGCGCCTCTCGCCTGAGTGGATGCCTCGCCGACGGCTTCCTCTGGCTGGACTACGTTTCGATCCCTCAGGCCAACCACGACCTACAGATGCAGGCGGTCGCCTCCATCGGAGCCTTCATCGCCTCCTCCTCCTTCTTCCTCGTGCTCGCCGGCACGTGGAGGCACGAGGTGGCCGAGCAGGGCATGCGGGACCTCTGCGGGTGGGCTGGAAGGGGCTGGTGCCGCTTCGAGCAGCTCGCTAACGCGCTGTCGCCGCGCCCCAAGTGGCAGCTCGTGGCGACGAATGCTGGCTGCTTCACGTACGGCGCGTGCGGCCAGGCTGCCTTCAACTGGCTCAGCACGCCGGTCGGGACCGGCGACTTTAGCTTTGCGGGCGACCGGGCGAAGCTGGGCGTCGCCATCGGCGAGCTCGTGAGCACGCGCGCAGAGTACGCGCTCAAGTGCCTCGAGCGCGAGCGCGGCGGCGAGCGCGCCCGCCGCAGGCACTTGCTGTGGTTCCGCCTGCTGACGAGCCTGCGGCACTGGCTTCTCGCCGGCACACCGGGCGACGGCGGGGCGGTGGACGAGGAGCCTCTCGAGGCGTGGCTCGACCGCCTCCGCTTTCGGACGATCCACGAGGAGAGGCGGAGCGGACTCACGCCGCTGCGCTTCGCCGCGCTCGCCTGCCGCGGCGACCTGGTCCGCGAGTTGGTTGCTGCCGGCGCGGACGTCGAGGTGCCCCTCTCCGCTGCCTGGCCCGAGTTCGACTTTCTCGCCGGCGAGACCATCCTGCACCGGCTCTGCAGGCTGCGCGACGCGCCCGAGATCGTCGCGCTCTTGATTGACGCAGGGGCAGACCCGCTCCGGCGGGACGCCGCGACGGGGCTCACCCCGCTGCACCTCGCCTTTGCGGGCGGGCACCCCATGCTCATCCAGTACTTTGTGAGCCGGTACGGCGCGCCCGCCGTCTCGATCACCGACCGGCTTGGCACCACGCCGCTCTGCTGCGCCGCCCTCTTCGGGCGGGCGGAAGTGGTGGCGGAGGTGCTGAGAGCAGAGGCGCGGCCGGACGAGCTCGACGCGCCTGGCAGCTTTGGGATGCCGCTCGCATTCTCCGCCGTCACAAATGTCGGCGACGTCGCCACCTTGCGCGCTTGCCTCGACGCCGGCTGCTCCGTCGACGCCGCCGTGCCGAGGCGGCAGCCGCGCGCCCTCTGCGCCGCCGTCCTGTTCCTGTGTAGCGCCTGGCGGCGGACGCAGCGCTTCGACTACTTTGCAGAGATCTTCGCCGAGATGCCGGGCTGCACTTGTCTGGGCTGCGCAGCGATGCAGGGCAACCTCGGTGCGACCGAGCTCCTCCTCTCCCGAGGCGCCGACACGAACGCGCGCAACGCACACGGCCGAACGCCGCTCATGCTCGCCGCCTCCGTCGGGAACGAGTCCATCGTCGCCGCGCTGCTGCGTGGCGGCGCCGATCCGGGGGCGACGGACAGTTACGGCGGTAACGCCGCCACAGTCGCCGCATCACACGGGCACCGGGCACTAGCAGACAGCCTGCGCGGTCAGAGTGCATGTGTCGCGTAAGGAGACACGTAACGTAAACACGTGCGATCCCCACACAGCCGGCTAGAGCTGTTAACATTAACCTTGGGCCTAACAGTTGCGCTAGTCGTGTTGGCGCTGAAATCCTTATATAAGTTGAACTTTTTTTAAAGCGTTGAAGCACGCTAGAGCGTAGCCCCCCCAAAAGCCCCCCATGGCACACCCCGCACGCATAATACGGCTTTCAGGAAATTGATCTGCTTGCAATGTGGGTCGGTAAACGCGCAAGCGCATCCCAAGTGATTTTCTTTTGTCTGCTGCTAGAGTACCTATGGCTGCCACCCTATGCAACATGTCTTCATAAAAGCGGCGGGGGCACGCACGCGCAGCACACTCAGGAGTCAGGTGCGAAGGACTTGTTCCGCACACTCCACGCCGTGGGGCTAGCACGCAACAGACAACGGAGAATACGTCAAGACGGCGAAAGCCTTCATCCGCGCCGCCGCCATCGGAGCCACCGCCTCCCACGCGCCCACTGCCGGGTCTTACCGCTCGACCGAGCTGGTGATGCGGTTGTGGACGGCACCAAATCCGCCTGCGACATACAGCTTGCCGTCGAGGACCGCCAAGGCGTGAGCCCGCGCCTCCGCCATCGGCGCCACAGCCTCCCACGTACCCAGCGCCGGATCGTACCGCTCCACTGAGCTGAGGAGGTTGTGGCCGGCACCCAGTCCACCCGCAGCGTATAGCTTGCCGTCGAGCACCACCACACCGTGAGAGTCCCGCGCTGTCGCCATCGGCGCGACCGCCTCCCAAGCACTCGTCGCCGCGTCGTACCGATCGACTGAGCTGAGGTAGTTGCCATCGCCGCAGTAGCCGCCCACAGCGTACAGCCTGCCGTCCAGCACTGCCGCGGTGGGAGACTCTCGCGCCGCCGCCATCGGCGCCACCGCCTCCCACGCATCCGTCGCAGGGTCGTACCGCTCCACCGAGCTGAGGTAGCCGTCGTCTTCGTTGCTGCCGCTCACAGCGTACGGCTTGCCGTCGAGCACCGCCATGGCGTGACTCTCGCGTGGTGTCACCATCGGCGCCATCTCCTCCTACGCACCCACCGCCGGGTCGTACCGCTCGACTGAGCTGAGGCGGCCATCGTCGTCGCTGTACCCACCAACAGCGTACAGCTTGCCATCGAGCACCGCCACACCATGGTCGCTCCGCGCCTCCGCCATCGGCGCCACCTCCTCCCACGACTTTGTCGCCAGGTCGTACCGCTCCACCAGGTTGGAATTTGCTTCGTCAGCTTCATTCCTGCCGCCCGCCGCGTAGAGCTTGCCGTCGAGCACCGCCGTGCGGACAAACCTTCGTGTCGAAGGCATCGGCGTCACAGCCTCCTTCTCCCACTCGTTCGTTGACGGGTCGAACCGCTCCAGCGAGTTTGAGGAACTCGTCGTTGTCGCCGCCGACCACGACCAGGCGCGGCCTCTCGCGCTTCTTCAGCGTCTCCTTCCAGCCGCAGCGCCACGCGCGGCACGTCCCCTTGGCGGCGTGCTCCTTGGTCGGCAGCTGGGCGAGGATGTGCGGGGCGAGGTCCGGCGAGAGGAGGACCTCGGAGAGCACCCACTCGGGCTGCTCCACGAGCCGTGCGGCGTGCTCCTCTGCCACGCGCAGCGCGGCGTCGCTCGCGCCCGCCTGCGCCTCGATGATGGCGCACAGCTGCGCTGGCGAGAGGCCCGCGACGCGGGCGCCGATGCGGTGGGCGGCCATCGACGGAGAGGTGAAGCGGCTGCCCACGCGGCAAAAGGCTGCACCGCGTGCCCCTAAGAGCTCGTACTTGCCGGAAGATCCGGCGCCGCTGTTCCGGCGCCGCTTATGGGAAGAGGCAAAACATGCAGCACTCAGCCTTCCCTCCCCCTCCCGGATGGAAGTACTACCTGAGCTCGACCGTGCTTGACTTCGCTGTTCAGATGGGAAGCGGTAACCCACGGTGATATGGCCGCATGCGGAGAAACAGCGGGAGATCTCGCCTCAATAGACTCAGTAAAGTAAATCTGCGACGAGGGAGAGCAAGGGAGAGCACGAGAAGGGGGTGAGAGGGAGGTGGTATGAAGGTTGAAGCGAGAATAGGAGAGAGACTGCGAAGAGAAAGCACCATCAAGCTGCTGTACGGTCCCGGCATTGCCTTCCCAGGCTTAGCTAGACTGAGAGATATTGTGCACATGGTCAGTCTCTACACAATGTTACACTGACACTGAACCTCCCAGAGCTCGTCCCGGTCCGTCACGGCCATCCTCGGCCTCCGGAGGGCCCCCGGCCGCGGGCGGCGCGGTGCGGCGGAGTCACAAATCCGACGGCAGAGCACCGGGACGCGGTCGAGGCGACTCACATCGTCACGCGGCGGATGTAGAGCTCTACAGCTCTACAGCGCTCTCCAGCGCTCTACATCTCTACAGCTCTACAGCGCTCTACACTCTACATCCTCTACACCCTCCCTCATACGAGCGTCATCTTGTAGTGAACAGGCCGACTTCGTGGTTTGAGCGCCCAACGCAGACCGACCGACCGCAGGGGGGGTCCGGTCGACGGCCGCGGAAGACCGCAGACCGGAGGGGGGGTCCGGTCGGTCGGAGCGCAGACCGGCGAGGGGCGGGGTCGGTCAGGTTGGCTCGTGGGTCACACCGCACACGCTCGCCGCAGCTGTGAATAAATTAGTCTCTCGAAATACTAGAGACACAAGCGCCCTCCCCCCCCCCGTGTAATCACTCCTCGTCCGGAGCGGCTGCGCTCTAGAGAAGCTCAGCTTTGGGTCGGAACACAAGCTCGTCAATGTCCCCGCCCACGTCGAGCCGATGAGCCCGGTGTGCGGTGAGGGCGGAGGCGATGTGTCGATCACAATTCTGGCAAGTGTAGTCATCGGAACGGACGATGCGCGCGTACTGTGTAGAACTGGAGCGCTGCCAGAGATTGTACAGAGCGACGGCAAGCACAATCAGCACAGGCCTACCTACGCCGCGTGGATGCTCCACACACACGTATGTGTGTCGGGTTGGCTCGAGCCTCCTTCGTTGCGTAACTAGTTTGCATAGCGAAACCCGGCGATTTCGAAGCCTGCGGCGGTTGGGTTCGCTAAGAGGAGGGGGAGAGAGCGTTGAGGGGGCTCACGGCAAGGACACGGACCGAGGGAGGGGTCGGTCGTCACACCCTCCCGCCGCTGAGAGAGCGACCGACCGGAGGGGGAGTCCGGTCCACCTCGGGGGCAGACCACCGACCGGCGGGGGGGTCCCCACGAAGTAGGGGGGGTGGGTACAAAATGACGCTCGTATCAGAAGAGGACACTGCGCTTATTGCGGGCGGGCGGGCGGATCCCCACTTTGTATTCGGCACACGCCTCCCTACCGGTATAAATACCGGGGGAGGTATTCTTGAGCTGGTCGACGCGGTCGTGGCTGTCGCTGCAGGCCCAGCGCATGTCAGTCGCGCTGCAGCTCGCGCGCGGCGGCGGAAGAGATTGCGACCGAGCTCAGGCTCGACGCGGCGTCGGAGGACGCCGCCGTCGCCTAGACTCCCCTGCGTCACTACGTGCCTCCCCGTCTTTGTAGCCTGGCGTTTGTGCCCAGTTTGTGCCGCGTCTCGTGCCCCCGAGTTCATTTAAAACAAAGGTATTCTTATTATCACCCTACTGTGAGCTCGGGGATTTAGCCGGTTGCCCCTGCGCAGGCCGCGCGATGCTCGACGTTTGTCTGTCGTGGTCTCGCTCGAAGCATCATCGCTACGAGGCTGTGTCCCAGGAACACTGCGGCGAGTCGAGCGGCCTCACGGAAACACTCACCGAGCTCATTGATCGGCGGCCGCGGGCTATGGCTGCGACAACTGTGTTGGCTTGCACGGGCTGCGGCTCCTGCGTGGCCAAGGTGATGATGGATCTGACCTGGGTGGAGGCATTCTACTTTTCTGTCACCACCATCTCGACGGTCGGCTACGGCGACATCAATCCGGTGACGCACGGGCCGCGGCATCGGAAGCAGCTGCACTATGCCTTCATGGCCTTTCACGTCATCTACATCGTCATCGGCGTCGCGGCGGTGGGCGCGGCCGCGGCCCTGGTGCTCTACTCGCACCAGGACACAATACTCTCGCTCAGAGCGACAGTGCGGCGGGCGGCAGCGGCCTTTGTCGCGTTGGCGCTTGCAGGTGCAGCAGTGATGTGCCAGCTAGAGGGTTGGGATGCCATGCATGGCCTCTACTGGGCGGTGGTGACGCTATCGTCGGTCGGCTATGGCCACCTCGTGCCGCGCTTTGATGCGGGGCGCGTGGTGGCGAGCCTCATCATGCTGGGCGGCGTGGGCTGCCAGGCGACGCTGTTCACCGCCCTCGCACTGCTGCCGGCAGCACTGCGGCGGCGGCGCCTCGAGCGGCGGGCAATGGAGCATCTTGCGCGCGGCAAGGACAAGGGCGGGCTGGCGGACGAGGAGCTGCTTGAGCTGACCGCCGGTGAAACAATGAAGGCGTGGCGGCTCTCCTCGAGCGACTCGTACGTGACGCGCGACGAGTTTTGCCTCGCGATGCTGCTGCGGCTCGAGAAGATCTCGGCAGAGGATTTGCGGCTCGTGCAGGACACCTTCCTCAGGCTGGACGCCAACCGCAGCGGCAAGCTCGAGTCACGAGAGAGCGCGAGCAGGCGAGAAAGCCAACGCGAGCTGACTGCGAGTCTCGACTTTTGAGCGAGGCGCAGCTCGCTCGCGCCGCGGGCGCGGCCCCCGCGTTGCGCGTGCACCGTGCACACGCAGCCTGACGGGCTAGCTGGCGGTGGTGGCGGGCGGGCGAAGCGCGGGACAAGCCGTCAAATCTGTTAAAACTGACGAACAACAACCAGCATGTGTAAACTCTCACGCGCAGTGAACACGCGGCACCCAGAGGCGCTTACATCAGAGCTCCCTATTGTGCCGGCCAAAGCGCGGGCCAGCGTAGCATCGCCCGGGCGCAGCACGGGGGAGGGGGCAAAAGAGAGAGAGCGCAGAGCGAGCGGGAAAAGGGGTTCGGAGGACCGAGACTGAGTCCCAAAGCCACGCTCCGCGTACGCGAGCGGCGCAAACCGCCCCACGCCAGTCACAGCGGCGCACGCGGCAGCAGGTGCGTTTGTCCGGCAAGAGACGGCGTCGGGGCAGATGGCGCTGCGCCGGCTCAAGGCGCCTCTTCCGGCGCCGCAGCAGGCGACCCCTTGCTCGCAGCCTCGGCCTGCGAGATGAGCCAGTCGGCGGCGCGCTCGATGTCGTCGCCGTTGGCCTGCAGCGCCTTCTCGCACTGCCGCGCCGACTGCGACGTCACCGCGCGCAAGTGCTTGGCGAGCTCCCGCCGCGCCTTTTCGGGAAGCACGCGCTTGCCGCCCTCCCCCTTGGCCGCCGCCGCCGCCGCCGCCGCCGCTGTGGCCACCGCGTTGGCGCCCTTGCGGCCAGTCTTGCCGCCGCCGCCGCCGTCTCCGGCGTCGTCTGCGCCGGCCGCGCCATCGGCGCCTCCCTTGCCGCCGCCGCCGCGGGAGGGCGTGCCGTGCATGCACGTGAAGGGCTCGATGGTGCCCGAGCGCCCATCCGACGCGTCCCACCGGTTCTTCTTGTCGTCGACGGAGACGCACTGCTCGTTGAGAGTGTCGCGCAGTCGGTCGGCGGCCTGACAAGGTGAGGTGAGGTCAGGTACACTTCTCCACACACACGAGGTGGCGGGGCGAGGGCCAGGCGACCCTCGCGTCTCGGCCTGACAAGACGCGGCGCGAGCGGCGAGGGTGGCGGCGGTGTGGTGCGGTGGTGGGCCCCGTGCGCGCACCCAACGGGGGGCGACGAGGGTCGCGGGACGAGACGGGACGGGACGGGAGGGGGGGGGGAGTTGGCCGGTCGGAAGTGGCGGGGCGCGCCTTGTAATCGTGCCGCAGCCGCGCCGCCTGCCGCTGCGCGAGGATCTTGCCCACGTCGTCGTCGGAGAGCTGCGAGACCACGATGGCGCCAGACGCGCCGTCGGGGCCCTGCCACTTGTTCTCCTTGGAGTCGAGGTAGACGCCTGCCGCGCAGGGGGGAGGAAAGGTGCGCTAAACGTCCACAAGCTGGCGGGGGCAAGGGCGAGGCAGCCCTCGCGACTCCACGTAAAAAACAGGAGCCCCACGGCATTCAATGTGCAATGCCCGGTGCGCGTGGGTGGGCGATGAGCGGTGAGCGGTGAGTGAGTGAGTGAGTGAATGTGTGTGTGTGTGTGTGTGTGTGTGTGTGTGTGTGTGTGTGTGTGTGTGTGTGTGTGTGTGTGTGTGTGTGTGTGTGTGTGCGTGTGTCTCGCAAAAGAACAAACGTCGAGGCTCGCGCCGGATGCGACCCCCTCGCGGGGCCAGGGGCGGAGAGAGCGGCAGGCAAGGCC